GGTGCGGGAGAGGTGCGGGATGGAGACCGTGGCGGAGCGGGAGCGGAGCGGAGCGGGAAGCCGTGCCCACGGGCCTCGCACCTCCTGCTTCGCCCCGCTCAGGCTGTAATTTAGTAACTCTGCATGTTCTTTCCTTGCGTGATTTCACGTCCTTAATTCTCTTTAAATGTCCACTAGAAAACGTTTGTATGTAAAGGGAGTTTCCTCTATCTCTGTATTCTTAATCGTGCCCATTTCAAAAGTTTGCAATGCTAATTATTCAAATGCTAGGTAGGGTTTTTTCCCCATTCTTTGTCTCACGCCCACGGAATGGGCTTGCTATCTTAGCACAGTTAAATATTTTTCTTCGTTGCCTGAACTTTTTACTGCTCTGCGTTTTGTAAAGCGTGTTCTTTTTATTTAGTGAGGGCACCCCTTTCCTGTTTACTTATACATCAGCAAATTCACCACTGAGATGGCATCAGTCAATTGCATAACTGCCCCCTTCTAAAGCGCATTCAGACTTTATTAACGGAGAACAATACAGGTCTCCTGTCAAGTAATTTCTGTGCAGGCTTTCATGCATTTGCAGTTAAATTAAATCAGGCCCTTTCCTTTTCTAAATCTCTGCTGTTGTATTACAAGGTGTGTTTCCTACTGAGGAAAAAGATACGCTAGAACTTGTCACTGGGGAGCTTTGAGATCTTTCACATTGGATGAAGCCCCGTAATGCAGTCCTTGCCGACTCAGTTGACCTGTTCAGCTCTGCATGACAGCACTTTTTTTTGTCTTATTAGCTTTACCAATTTAATATGCGTAACCATCTTTTAAATGTATTTTAGCAACCAAATTAAATGGATTCCCATGTGACTGATACACAATTAAACTAGCAGTTCGTCTTAAACTGTTTATCATTTGTTGCGTTATTTGCCTTCCTTCTTTTAACGCTGGGCTTTGTGCCTCTTGTTCTCAGGGCTGCAGTTTCTGAGGCTGTGCAGCAGTGCCAGGCAGGCTGCGGGGCCAAGGAGCTGCGGGGCAGCCACCGGGTTTGCGCTCGGCATCACCGTCTGGTGGCCGCTGGGGAAGCGGCGCCCAGCCGGGCACCATGAGCTCCGGCACCACCGCCCCGCTGAAGGTCGTCGGCAACCTTGCCAACACTGATGTCAACTATGTCATCAAAGAGCATTATAATTACACGGGAAAGCTAAACGAGAATGCGGACAGTGGAATAAAAGTGACGTCGGTGGTTTTTATCATCATTTGCTGCTTTATAATCTTAGAGAATATTTTTGTCTTGCTCACCATCTGGAAAACCAAGAAGTTTCACAGACCCATGTATTACTTCATTGGGAATTTGGCTCTTTCAGACTTGTTGGCTGGTGTGGCTTACACTGCCAACCTCCTGCTATCTGGACACAAAACCTATAGCCTCACCCCCTCCCAGTGGTTTGTAAGAGAAGGCAGCATGTTTGTTGCCTTGTCAGCTTCTGTGTTCAGCTTGTTGGCCATTGCCATTGAGAGATACATCACCATGTTGAAGATGAAACTCCACAATGGCAGCAACAGCTTCCGCTCCTTCTTGCTGATCAGTGCTTGCTGGGTTATCTCTGCAATACTCGGGGGACTTCCGATCATGGGCTGGAACTGCATTAGCCTCTTGTCCAACTGCTCCACCGTGCTGCCTCTCTACCACAAGCACTATATTCTCTTTTGTACCACCGTTTTCACTGGCCTTTTGCTATCTATTGTCGTCCTCTATTGCAGGATCTACTCTATGGTGAGGACTAGGAGCCGCAGGCTGACATTTCGGAAAAACATTACCAAAGCCACTAGGAGCTCAGAAAAGTCGCTAGCCTTGCTGAAGACAGTGATCATAGTCCTGAGTGCCTTCATTGCCTGCTGGGCTCCCTTGTTCATCCTGCTTTTACTGGATGTGGGGTGTAAAGTGAAGACCTGCCCCATCCTCTATAAAGCCGAGTATTTCTTAGTACTGGCTGTGCTCAATTCAGCCACGAACCCTATCATCTACACCTTGACAAACAAAGAGATGCGAAGAGCTTTCATCAAGATTCTGTGCTGCTGCAAATGTGCCCCATCAGATTCTGGGACCAAATTCAAGAGGCCAATCATTGGAGGGATGGAGGTCAGCAGGAGTAAGTCTGACAACTCCTCCCATCCACAGAAGGAGGAAGGTGACCGTCCTGAAACCATCATGTCTTCAGGCAACGTTACCTCATCTTCTTAGGAGTAACCATGGGGGTATATTTCAGAGCCTTCCTCTGAAATCGGGGAGCTGAGACACCTCCTGCTCATGGCAGCAGCGTTGGGCTAAGTGAGCAAGTAGCATTAGTTCTATTGAGGCAAACGGTGCACTTGCGAGGCTGGAGGTCAAGAAATGGGACAGACTGTTCTGGCTTGAAAATCCTTTTCCCTGGAGCATGTTTTGTCTTTGCACTGAGGCAGCTCAGGATTGTCAGGCGCATTCATATCCTGAAATCTCCTTAGTAACTCTGAAAGACTGATGCCTTGGTGAAATGATGCCTGGTGTGTGTGAGAGAAAGAGAGGGGGAGGAGGGAGAGAGAGAGAATGAGAGAATTAACCTTTTTTTTTTTTTTCCCCATGTGAGAAGAATGTGAAGTTATTTCTCCTTTACTTGCAGCAAACCACTGACACAAAGATCTTTCTGTACTGAATTTAGTGGTGGCTCTGGTATAATTGGTCAGAACTGCTTGTTTAGCACATAACAAGGAAAAAGATCACGCAAATTTAACTTAGGCCATGCACAACCATAATTTGGCGTCACTTTTCAGAGTTTCAAGTTAAGTCGTGAGGTTTTATTTGCAGAGTCCAAAGCCATTGGGGTTTATTTAACAAGATCATAGCTATGAATTTTTGCTGTTGGTCCATGTTACATCCGAAGACCATGAGCCAGACTCTGCACTTACTTTCACCTGTACAATTCCATTGACTGCGTCAGATTTTATGGAGTAGCTCAGAGCAGAATCTGGCCCCATACATTGCTTGCCTTGTTATTCTACAGCATTAAATAAACCACATTTTCATGACAAATGCAAGGTAGAACTGAAGGTCATTTCTCTTTAAGGTGACTGACTGGGAGTAAATCTAATGTAAGTTACTGTTGACAACAGCAGGATTTTTACCTAAGTAAGAAGAGTTTAAAGCTGAAGGGGCATTTCAGTGTCAGGTTCATAGTCTTTCCAAAGGTGAAGGTCAGTTGGAAAATCTGAAAAGAGTACCCTGAGTTTCAGAAAAATAAAAGGAAAGTTGAAGTGAAATGACTATAGATAAATGCACTTCCATAACAAAATGCAATACATTTTTGGCACATTTTATTAATGTTTATAACGTCAGCAAAGATGTCTGTATTTTATCAGTTCACGGAAGAAGTACCTGTCATTAAATTGAATGTATTTGTTTTACAGCATCATTTTTACTCCTCTGTTTTTCTAACCTTTGCTAATGGGGTTGAATGTGTACAATGTAAATAAGTTAATAAGATGCAAGAGTCTTCATGCACCTAGAGTATTACTATAACAAAAGTGGTATATCTGGGATAGTTGAGAGCAACTGACTGTTTTAAAGCTATTGCCAATTCCTAGGAGTGGTATTTTGTAAAAAAAAAACAAAACTATTGCCTTTGTAGTAAAATTTTGAGTGCAATTAAACTGTTGGATTTTTTTTTCTGGTTTAAAAAATAGTATTTAAAATGTTCCTGACTTCTGTTGTTCAATTTGCACATAGCTTTATTGACTTCTAAACATTAATAAACTGATTTTTTTTAAAATTCTGTTATCACATTAGTGGTAGTTTTGTACTATTGTGGCAGTTTCATGCCAGGTGTGGTTTCTTGTTGACAGAAGTAAAAGAATTCCTTGATTTCAGTGCATGCTGGGATTAAGTCAATTCTATGGGGACATAAGATGTATGATGCCACATACAGAATCATGTCAAATACAAAATTAATGCTAGAATATAATTTTTGATCAGCACATGCTTTATGATGAAATGCCATTAAAAGAATCTCTGCAGTAGTGATTCTTCCCCAACAGCTAATGTACAAACAGAATTAAAAACAGATGCCTGCCAGTACTACCATGGCTGCCTAGAATAGAATAAGTGAAATAATTCACTTGTATCACTAATATAATTTGAAGTTTAAGCCTTATCTTGTTGCAAACATCAAGGAAGTTTATGAAACATAGAACGGTGACCTCGGCTATGTAACCGCTGCAGCTCTGTTTGGTCCACCAGCGAAGACCATGGCAGTGTGATTGAATAGGTACAGCGTTGCTTCTTCCAAAGGCTTGACTTCCATTTCCTCTCTTGCGGCCGTTCCCTCTCAGGATTACTTTTAAGTTTCATGGAGCTCGTACAGGATGCAGTTGGAGTGTGAAGATAAACCTCACCTTCTCGTACTGTATGTCATCGCCATGCAAGGTTTACTGTGGGAAACGAGAATCTACTCACTGAGGAAGGCTCTGGGTCATAACCTCACTTCCTGAAGGAAATTCCAAAAATGCCCTGAAGACAAAAGAGTGGAAACAGGCTGGAACTTCTCTCCATCTGTCTGCCTGTACGGAAGGAATGATTTCATGTGTGCTCACTTCCTAGGCTTTTAATTAGTGACCTGAACAGGGCTGGAAAAAATGTCCAATCTGTATTTGCGCACAAGATAAAGTCTCTCTTGGCTCAGGCCTTCATTTGGGCAGGGATGGCTTGCGCCGGGTGCTGACAGTCATGAGGGAAAGTGCTGCTTTGTCCCAGGGATAAAGTCACTTCTGTGCAGAGCACCAGAAGTATATAAACCATGAAAGGCCAAGCTAAGCCCTCCACATGTTACCAGTGAGTAAATAGAGGCAATGCAGAGGGATGAGCCAGTGTACGGGGACTTCTGAATTTGCAGGGGTGTTTTTATCCAAAGGATGACTGCCCTTCGCCTCTTGAAGCCTTACAGGCATTCAAGTTTGTCGCAGATGGGTCTGAGGTCCTGTGACCAGGGATGAGCTCTGTCACAGCACAGAAAGACAGAGTGACACAGCTGTCACTGGTCCCTCCTGACTACCACTGGCTTTTCTGTATTCATAGCTGATAGCCCACAGGTGAGTCACATCCTTTTGACTTTGTTTCTGTATCCTGTGCTTATCTATCTCATCTAATGGCATTGTGGGCCTTTGTGGAAAATGACGGTTTCCCCTATGGAGGTGACTGTGTGATGGGAGCCTGGTTTTGGTGGGGAACTCGCAGCCCTACGTAATTCACGCAATAAAAGAAATGCAAACGCCGGAGTGTGGCACTGGGCCATGGGAAGCATTTCCTATGCTCTTGGTCATGATGACTGAAACCTGTTTCCTCCATAGACAGGCCACATCTATGCATGTAGGCAAGATTCAGACAGGGAACAATAACTGCAATAAAATAACAACAATAGTAAAAGTAAGGGTTCCTGCCGGGAAAAAAATAAGAGTCAGGCGGTTTGTACTGCTCTTCCTGTGGGGGAACTGGGCAGCTCCTTGGCTGCGAACATGTTACCCTACACCGGCAGGTTAGGCCAGATGTGCAGTGCACGGTTTTGAAGTGTGTAATGTAGAAAGCACCCTTCCCAGGCCCCGGACTGCCTTCCGTGTGCACTGAAAGGGCCTGCGGCTTTGTCCTGGTGTTGGCTGTGTGACAAACAGGCAGAGAAAATGAACTGAGAACTGAAAAGGTGCATTATACCAAATGTCTGTGTGAAATGAAATAGCCTGAATTATCCAGAGTAACCTGACACTTTGATTTATATTTTTTTCCCTAGCTATTCTTTCAGTGTAAGGAATAGTACAGGGATGGAAAATGGTCAGAAAATCTGTCTGTTACTCCCCTGGCAGCTCCCTCACTTGGTGTGCCTGTGTGAGACCCAGGTACAGCAGAGTGTAAGAGTGGCTGCAGCCAGAATAACCTACGGAGAGTGCAGCAGGAACAAACTTTGGGCTTGCTGTACAATGCAGACAGCCAGGACCAAAAGTAGGGGACATAAAAACGTAGAAATACTGTTATCCATCCTTTTCTTATTTTGTCAACTAAGAAATACAGGTATTGCCCAACTGTAGTATCCACATTTGGCCTGGAAGTTCTCAATACTGATTGCATTTTGTATGGGCTGAGGCATTGTCAGATGTTGTAAAAAGGATCAGACTGACAAATCATCCAAAAATGTGGGTATGCAGACCTGAGCTACGTAACCCACTCAGCTCCAAAACGCTGGAAATTCCCAAGGACAGGCTTTGTCATTTATGGGGTTTTGAAATTCCCCAGGAAATCATCAATTGTATTTCAGTAATTTCCCATACTGTTTTTCTTGGAAAACAAAATGAATCCAACTACAAGTGAATCTTGAAGGATTTAAGAAACAAAGAAACGAACACAATCTGGTTGGACTAGATGATCTAGTTGGACTAGATGGTCTTTCGAGGTCCCTTCCAACTCCTAGCATTCTGTGATTCTGTGAAAATCCATCTAAATTCAGTTCCTATAATTTGCTTTCACGAACTTTTCTAATCCGATCTTTGCATTTACTGATGGAATTTACAGATAGCTCATTCGCTATCATCTAATTTATCCTGATTCTGCAAAAATCACATAGGGTCAAGAAATGTCCCTTCAGTTATTACTCTATGCACAGGATTTTCGAGGATTAAGAGTAATCAAATTCATTCTGCACACAAGAGCTAGATAGAAGAACATGGGGTACAGCTAACTTGTTCCAATACAAGTATTCTGCTGAAATTAGAAGTGCCTAGAGAGATCTGAATCTCAAGTGTCTTATATAAATTATTAACCAAAACCTGTTGGTTTTTTAATGTTGAGAACTTAATTAGTGTAGACTTACGTGACCCACTGAAGAGACTTCCAATGCTAAGGACCCTCTGCCCTGCAGGAACAAGGTGTCACGTTCCTTGTTTTTCCCTGCTTATTCACAAATTCTGTGAGATGTTTTATCAAAGCAGCAGTTTCCAAATCACTCCTCCCCAAGCAATGCCCTGCACGGCCAGATCCCTTATTCTATCAAAAAATATTATATGGGAGTAAAGCGGGAACGATTTCCTTGCACTCGAACCCTCTGTGCTGCCTTCACAGGACAAAAAAGCAGGAAATCCCATTGGCCCCACCCAGGAACGCTCCCACATAGAGAAGTTCTAATAGAGCGGAGCTGACAAAGCTCCATCAACCCTCTATGAACCTTCCACCAAGCCTGGTTTAGTAGTCTCATAATGGAAACCTGATATTTATTTTGAGCTTTTGTGAATGACTGCTTGGAGAAGATTCATTTTTAAACACACGGTACAATAACTATAGATTAAAATGGCTGACTGGAAATATATGTGAGCAAAGCCCCATTAAATATTAACATGTGTGTGTAGCATTTGCAGTGTTTGTTTGGAATCACTCTTCTAAGCTAGAAGCAGGCTCAAAATACAGAGTGCATAACTTTTGGTAACCAGTGAACATTTAGAAAACACAGGCTAGAGGGAAATCACTGAACAAATACTGG